TTTTGACGTTTCAACTTTTGGACAGTAATTGACTGAACGGTTGTACATAGGCTATACATATATCTTATCATCTCCAATTTGTAGAGGCGAAAGCTCTAACTCTTAAGCATTTTCGAGAATTCTGTTTAACACAGCATGTGGAAAACGTACAGGAATCATGTCTTGCTTGCGATCAAGGGAATGTACATAGGCCTATTAAACGCACCAGTCGTGTGTGATATTATAAATTTATTATTAAATGTCTGTGTGAATATAGATCTAGAATAGCAACCCTGGCTAATAATACAAAACTGTTTCTGCGAAATGAACTTGGTTTTTGCTCTGTGTATAATATTTGGTACGGAATTTTTGTTTCGCTTTTCAACATCCCAAAAATAAACTATTGTGTTTTATTTAATGGAAGTAAATCTATTGTTCTAAAACATTTCAAAACGTTTTCTTCTCAATTTGTGCATTCTCGTGTGTGTAGCACACATTTGTTTTCTTTGTGACACTTCTAAGGTTTATAGAGAGAGAAGGAAGGAAGGAAAACGTATCTAATACACATCAGCGTGACATGAGAAGTCCGGTGAAGAGGGCGAGATGTCCCGAGCAGATTAGGAGTCGAATATACAAGACTGACTGGAGGCTGGGCCTCCAGTGATCACCGATGCTTGAAATAACATTGCAATAAGATCGGGTCAGGCTGGACCACACATCACCGAGCCATCTGAACAATTATGTGATACATGATGGGCCAGTATTGAGCTCATCGGATCGTGATTAAGTTGAAAATAAGGCTCATATCTCATATGATTAATTACTTATAATAATATATAAAGTGCCATCCCACTGCGCAAACAAAAGTCATTTTTATCAGAGTAGAAATGCGCATATAATTGGAAGTAATCGCGACACTGAGCGTCAACTAACTGACTGTAAACAAAGAAAAGCTCGCAGCGTAAAATTACTATAGAGAAAATGCTTTACAATAAATAGTGGAAAGAGGATTACGGAAATGACTCGCGCCCCTAATACAATATAACTGCTCTTGTGTAGTGACTCTCGAGGTTATTTAATTCCAATTTAATAAGCACGTATTCACTTTCTCACTGTTACTATTGTTAGGCCTTGTCTGTTGTCCATCATTAACTGCACTGATGCATGCATAGCCGATAAAAGACCTCTATAACACAGACAATCTCATTTATAGAAGAGGAATCGAAACAAAGAGAGGTATGCAACAGACAAGCGTGTGTGAAAGTGTGTTTCTATCTAAGTCATGTTACAGCACGCACAGATCAGAATGAGTGAACATTTACTTTGGGGTACAACACAAGCGAGCTGTTTAACATGAAAGCTCTCATATAGTGATGATTAATGAGGCAGACAGAAGAAGGGTGCAGGGAATTGTAAGATTGAATGCTACTATTAAATTGACTGAAAATGTTTATTGCAGTTGAATGAAAAGTAAAACGCCTATGCTAATTTAAAGCATCTATGTTACCACAACAAATACTTGTCTAAAATCTACAGATCATAAATCACCCATTTTCAGGTGTACGCATTCCTGATTCTCTCAGTGTAGAGCTCTCAATCTAACCAGGCCTAAATTATTCATTCCCAGCAACATGACGGTCTGGGGTCCCAATACACATCTCAATAAACACTGTGAGCGGGGGCCCACGGGAGCAATACAGAGCAGATCCAAAGAGGAACCCTTCAGTCGGCCTAAACACAGCTGAGAAAGCTGTTCCGTCTATTCTCTAGAAGACTGCGCAAAGGTAAGGCGTTTTAATGCGCATTATCAGCAGAAAACTAAAAACATGTCCTTGCATGACGAAGAGAAGCGCCAAAAGTTTGCATTCATATGGAGGCTAACTCGCGCTTTCTACATAAGCTTCCCTGCACAGTGCACAGTGTCTTGCCGTGTTCTTAGTTATTTTATGTGCCGACACAAAATACGTTGCTTAGGCAACTTTAGTCTTTTTTTGTTGTTGTTGTTGTTGAGAAAATGTTATAAAAATGTTTAATCAGATATTCCCTGACGCGGAATATTTCTTTGATTGCAGATTGAATTGTTTGTTCAATGGCAATGTTAATTTGTAAACTTGGTATTAATTATGCATGTTGAAGCTAAGAAGTAGCCAACACTACGTTTAAATTTGAAATAATATAGGCTAATTCCTATATTTTTATTTTCAAAATTACTGTAGGCCTAACTCTTAATGCAGTTGTCTTTTTGAATGTTTTTAAAAATAGACTACACTCTAAAAATTGCTGGGTTGTTTCAACCCAACTTTGGGTCA